TTGTTAACACTTCCATTGTTACACATCTTCGAAGTCAACCACTTTCAAGCTCATATCTCCCGCACCCTTATAGCTTTCGAGACTCAACCACCATAGTGCACGAATGGAGACTCGGGGCTACCACCACATACAAACAGCATTCATGTGCGATGTGTAGTTTTTGCGGAAAAGTGAAATATAGAAACCCACACGTCCATTTATATATATATATATATATAATTCTAAAATTACATTTTGTGAAGTGTTAATAATGTAAAGAGTTATGAATAATGAATAAAATTTAATTACAATCATCATTAATTATAATCAAATTAAACTCATTTTTTTCTCAATAGTTTTAAGCATGTAATAATATTAAGAGATAAGTACTTTATTTACAAATACTGTTAAGCTGATTAAAGAGTCATTTTGAGTATTCAGTTGGAGACACGTCGTTAAAATAGCGTTAAGTTTCAATTAGTATTAACGTAATATCGATCTACAACTTAATTTAACTACATACTTAAATGCTGATAAAGAATATTCGCAATATAAAAGCCACGATCATTTGGTTAAAACGGATGTTGACAAACCATTAAATTTCAACAATCTGAAGCATTTTACGTATATAAATTCATAATTTTTTTCATAATTGATAAATATAAAGTTTGATTTACCTGTTGAAATAACAGAAAATGGACAGTGTAATTCGATTTTCGTTGACTTGTTTACAGCGTCTTATCACCTAGGCAACAAGCTTTAAAGCGTAATCGGACAGTGTTGCCAGAATTAATTCTTTAACAGAACAAAGAAATCAAAATAATGCAATTTAATTGCTTCTTTTATTTGTTTTAATATATCACATTCTTGTTTACGTATTTTCTAACGTTAATTAACTAATATATACGTTCGGTAATTGTAATTTAGTTTACAATTGTTGTATTTATTGTATATAAGACACCGCGTTCGAAGTGGTTTTTAGTAAACGCGGTAGCGAATAATTATTTTATTGTTGTTTATTATCGTTTAAATAAATTAATTTTAAAAAATTTAATACATATTTCGAATTATTATTATTTTTTTTGCAAATTTTTTCGTAAAGAACCTACCGAAAACGTTGACGTTTACATAAAGTGTAACAATTTTTTTAACATTCAAATATACAAAATATAAAAATTTAAATATAAGATTTGCTCGAACATGCAAATAAACGCAAATAAAAATTATATTAAAAAAAATTATAAATTCCATATTTATTCCACCATATCATTTGTATTTGAATCTAATTTATGCCCTACTTAAAATATTTAACTCTGATTTTTTATGAAAATGTTTCGTGCTTGACATCATTAGTACTAAATCGATAATTATACAAAAATAAACTTATTGAATTTTAACATCTAACTTAGGAAAAAATTGTTCCAATATTTTATGATTTTAAAATCAAAATTACACTGAAATTTAAAACTTAAACTTATTTTCAATAATAAAATTAATTGTGTTTATTTATATCTTTATATCAGCAAATATAATTTATCATACATAAATAAAATTTTATGCTGAAAATTTACCTATAGACTATATACAGTATTAACTATACTTATTTATTAAATTTCCATATTAAAATAACTAATATAGTAATAATATATTTCTTCCCTAATATCTAAATCATAGTGTGAAATTTATATTTAATATATTGCTGGCTGAAAACCACTATGTTTTATTATTTTAAAAGTGTTTCATTTTCCTATCTATCTTCATTGCAGTCCATTATGATTCATCCGCACTCCTGATGCTGCTGGAGCAAAAGCAATTTGTCCTATTTCTAGTCTTCTAATAGTTCTCTTAAACTTTCAAACTAAATTTCTCAAAACTTAGAAAACTAGAAGTATAACGAGCTATTATTTATTGTAACATCGTCACAATGCTCTCAATTTTATTAGTGTCTTGTCCCTATACATCACACTTTCCTATTAGCAATACAATCATGTCGGTCATCCATCTAACTCGTTCAGGAGAAAATTTGGTAACTAAAATATTGTGATTCCGGTCCAAACCGGAAGTTCGTATATAGTTACTTGGACCTCCAGCCCCTAAACTTTCCATATCTGGTCTCGATTTTCATCTATATAACTTCGTTCTCGAAATTAAAGAAGGATAGGACAAACGTTTGCCAATGGGAATTTATGTCTGCAATTTTTGAAAATTGCAGCCCAATAAAGTGGTTCTCGGCCAGCGATATATTAAAAGTTTTTCTTATGGTTTTAATTATAAAAATGAAATTTATAAAAGTAATAACTTAAATAAATAATTGTTAAATACGTTATTAACCAGTTTAAACATGAAAAAATTATTAACAAAATAAAAAAAAAATACAATATTTTTTTAGTATAAGATATAGTGCTTGTTTTAAAACAAAAATAAGTAGAAAAGTGAGCTAATTGTTGGTTCCTTGTAGTTGATTAGACCAATAATGCCTAAACTATGGTTCCCGGACGAAATTCGGCCCGTGAATATATTTGATACATTACTTATAAATAATAGAAACAGACCTAAGTTTTGTTAATGTGGAATACACATCATTTTTGTGACCTGCCTACCTACGACTTATGCGCAATTTGGCCTACAAATCGAAAATTTTGGACACCGCTGGAGTAGACACTGACTGACGGCGGAGTTCGGCAGTTCTGTTTTAGTTTTCATCAAAGTTCAGTGCTGATACAATTAACAGAGCTAATATAGAGGGATTTCATCTTTCTGCTGAATGAGTTTGTTCTCTTAAAAACCATAACTGATAAAATAAAATTGCGTTTCTTCATGTCAGTTGTGTTAATTGTGTTCGTTTCTGTATACTTTTATGACGTAATCAGTTTCAAACACAAACGATAATAATAATAATAATAAACAAAAAGACAGTAAACATAATGTATGTAATTGTATTTTCTTAAGCTGACGGATATTTTAGGGGAAAGAAAAAGTGTTTAGGAGATTTTTAGGGATAAAAAATTTTTTTCTGAGTGATACCGAGGTTTCGAAGTTGGCAACGTGCGATTTTCAAATGATCATCATGGAGGATGATTTTAACACCTGTGAATTAGAAACGAATACATTTCAAACACGAAATATACATAATAAACCTCCGTATAAAACGAAAGCAGTAAGTGTGGTGGTATAATTGTAATTGATTTCGTAGGATTCATTTTTTAAATTTAATTAGCTGATTATTTGGAAATATGAATTTATTAATTTCTTACATAATGGTAAAAGTTTACTTTTAATACATGGCACGTTTTTTCCTAATTATGCAGTATGTATAGATTTCAACATATATACCTTACTGAATAAGTAATTCAATTATACATTTTTGAAAAACAAGGTTCATTTTGGATTAAATGATTAAATTCATTTGTAATTGAATTTCTTCATAAAAATGTGGATTCTTCACTGCATTGCAACCACATGCTGTTTGGAACAACAGATTGGCACCATTTGCAGAGTGTGGGGTTCCAAAGAATACAGTACTATGAAAAAGTCATTACAAAGAATACCAAAGAAAATCTGCTGCTGACTACAATGCAGAAGAAACAACAACTGCTGTGGGCTTGAGAAAAATGTTGGACTGAAGACAATTGGCAACTATCACTTTTAACGATGAACCATACGGGACATTCCAATTTTCAACACTGACTAAGTGCTGATCTCAACGTTCATTAAAAGTCATTCATTTTTTCAACGTTGAAGTGGCACTGTTGTCAATGCTGACTCAACACACTCAGCACTCAACAGATATGTTGACTGCTGCTTTCCAATAAATTATGGGTAATTGGTGCAACATTTGTATGAAATTCATCTTGCTGAGAATGGAATTATGGGAACTAAGTACTTCGTACTCAAAGTTGGAACATCATCCATGATGTCAAATTGTTGGTTTCAACACTCAACACTCTTATTGAAAATTGGAATGTCCCGATAGTTTTGTGTGACATATAATAATCAATCTCCCATTTATGGAGATAAAAACATGAAATATACAACTCAACATGCTTAACAAAATCTGTGAAACATCTTGCTAATATCATAGTATGGGTTGCATTGCTTCCAAAGAAAGAGTAGTGTGTTTTTTTAAAAGGAATCGTGAATCTGCTGTAAGTTATGTCCAGTGATATAACTAGTTTTTGGCACCCTTTCCCTATAACATTACCTTTATTAAAAAATAAAATAAAATTATTAACATCAGTGATTCCCCAATCAAATTTGGCAATTGTTTGGCTTTAATATAACTATTGGAATTACAGATGCTTACAAGTATTAATTATATAATTTTCTACATTAAAGATTTAGCAGTTTAACTTTCAATAGATATTACATTTAAATTAGCCAGTCTGAGTTGGCTTATAGAACTTCTTACGATTATTTAAATAAAATTATTTAAGTTTATAAAATGATTGCTCAGCACCTGTTACAATCAAAAAGAGCCTTATTGTATTGCAAACTTTGTTAAATGAAAATGTTAATAAATAATTTTTTATAATAAGTCTAACACATCAGCAGACATATCAATCGTAGCATTCAGTGTTAAATAAATTACAAAATGCACAGGTTGATCATAATTAAAGAATAGGTATTTAGAACTCTTTGTAGAAAGAATACTTATTGGGCATATCTCAATAAAATTTGATCTACATATTGTTTTAGGTATAAAGTTTCAATTTTCAGGAAAAATTTTACTTCAAAATATTATAAATACTCAAAATATCAGAAAATAATATAAATACTTCATCTCTCAGACAATATTTAGCACTGTTATCCTCTTAATGTATACATTACAGTATGAACATTTTTTGATGCATTTCAGATATAAAAGGAGAGTCAAAAAACAATCTTCACAATTCTTTGATAAGTGAACAATCGGGGTTCTCACTTTACCTGATTGTACATTATTCATTAAGCTCCTCTAGCAATGAAACAGCAATTCTAGCTCATCACTTACAGCATTTACAAATAGATCTTCTGACTATTGGAAATCTTAGGAAACAATTTTGCATTTTGAGGAGCACCAACTTTGATGTATTGGCTGAAATTCGAAGTAAAATTTTTTTCCAAAAGTCAGAACTGGAATCTCCCAAATTAGGTTGAGATTTTCCCAATAATTCTTTCTACTATATAGCTCTAAACACCTACTCTTTAATCATCCATATACATATATATAAAATAAGCTGTTCTATTAAATCAGTACTATAATTTTGTAGAAAATCTTTTGCTTGTTCAATTAATTCAGATAACAAGAGTAATGTTTTGAAAATATAGAAGAAAATCATTAACTATTTCATTTAATCCTTAGAAATGATTGTGAATTTCATTTATAATTATATTTAACAATGAATAATAAATATTCACTTGAAACAATAACAGACTCCAAATGTTTTAATCTCTAGAAAGTTTGTCAAAATGCCTTTTAACTTTTCTTGTTCCATTTTCTTTACAAGCTAGATAAATCTGCTATTTTCTTGCTAACTAGAAAGCTTTTTGACAAATTTCAATAAACCAATGACCAAATGGATAAAACAATTGAATGGCCAGTTTTCCATAGAAATCCTACCAGAAGACTTTTGCCCAAAGTTGGCAGATTGCTCAAGTTTTGCATTGTCTTATTTCATCAATCCATCCATAACCCAAAATATGCTCTTGATCGAATGAGAAAATATTGACAGAAGCATATTAGTTGATACAGCTTCAGATCTGTCAATAAACATTATTATTTTTTCAATTATTTTAAGTATTGATAATGTATAAAATTGCTATAAAATTTTTTCTGACTTGCACTTGTGTCATTTAAACCTTTGACATGCTTAGTCCTAGTTATGTCACTGGTTATATCAAAATGTACTGGAAGCTTTCTTGCTTCCCACTATTAAAAAACATTTTGAAGACAATGGTGTGGTGTTTTAGCAAGATCTAGCACTCTCTCATGTATCACATGCAATTAATGATGGATAGAAAGTACCATTTCAAGACATTCTGGCCTGTAAATTCAGTGGACTTGAATCCCTCTGAAGGGCTTTGGAATATCATTAAAAATGTTTATTCATCATCAAAACCTGAAACTTTGTTAGAACTGAAAGCTCCAAGAAATATAGCCAGTAGTAATAACTAACAAATGTAAGGCATTAATAACCTCTATGCTGTGGCAAATCAAAGCTCAGGGTAAACCAACCATTGTGTTGTCAATTGTTTCTATTCTGATTCTAATTTTTTGAAACACCAATCTGATGATTGTATTTTTTTTCTATTACAGTAGAACCCCTCTAGTCCGTCACTCCGGTTAATCCGACCGTGGTCGGAGTCGAGAAACTCGTCAGTGACTCACTGTCCGTGGCATTTTTCTGTGTTCGTTACAGTATATGTTTTACATTGTGTATACAGTACATATACTACAGTTTTGTGTGTGTTTTCAATATGTCAGGAGTGAAACGTAAACACGTTACTCTTTCATTAAATGAAAAATTAGCAGTGCTACAAAGACTGGACAAAGGGGAAGATTGTTTATTTTACTTTTTTTCTGATAATCCGACCTTTTTTGCGTTCCGACCATACTCCCAGTCCCAAAGGTGACGGATTAGAGGGGTTCTACTGTACTGATTTTATTACTTTATCTTTCTAATGTTCCTGCATTTTAATTGCATAATCATATATAGACCACCTATTCTAATAGTGTTTTCCACAAATGACATTTGTCTTGCTACTCATTTATGTGATAAACTGATTCAGTTGCTCATGTTACACTTGGTACTTTTTTACATTGATTCTAATTTTTGGAATGAGGTTGCACTTAAAAATATTTTATATGTAGTTTTTAGATTATGTATTGCAGTTTTTTATCTAACAAGCAATTATTGTGACATCCTCACAATGCCAGGCTGCAATTTTTCATTAGTGTTCTCAATTTTTTTGGTAGTGTCTTGTCTCTGTGCATCATACTTTTCCTGTTAGCAATAGAGTTGTGCTGGTCATCTATCTAACTCTGTTCTGGGGAAATTTTTTATATTGAAGTGACATTACTTCCATATGTGGATGTGCGTATGTGTTGATGTCTATTGAAATGCAAGTTGAAAAAATTGTAGACCTATAAATTCCCATCAACATCTGTCTGTCTTTCTTAATCTCAAGAACAAAATTAGATAGATGAAAGATGAAAACAGATATGGAAACCTTAGGGGCAGGAAGCCCCAATTAGCTATGCATGAACTTCTGATGCAAACTGGAAGTCGCATTATTTCAATTCAAAACTTCCCCTGAAAGCAGTTAATAAATGATAGGCACTCTATTGTTAAAGGAAAAGTATGATGTACAGGGGCAAGACACTACTAATAATTGAGGTGGAGAGCATATATTTTAAATTAAATTAATTAAAAATATGATTAAAAATTGCAGCCCTACATTGTGATGATGTCACAATAAATAATTGTTTGTTTCACTTAATTTCTTGGGATGGGATAGCGATTAAGAAATTAAATTTGGCATGCTAACTTTTATATAAGGAACATTGATGCTATTAAATTTTGGTGGTAAAGGTCAAGGGGATGAAGATATAAGATACATGATCTTCTCTATCTCAAGAGGGGTTGAACTTAATAAAGATTTTACTCATTATTAGCATTTACAATTTTTTATAAAACTTAATTTTTGAGCACAGAGAGAAGTTTTTGCCATTTTATAATAATTAATAATATGAGATTTTATTATAAAAAATTTTTTATAATGGATGGTACCAAACACAATTTTATTTCTTCAATTTTTAATTTTGAAGTCTTATACTTCAAAATTAAAAATTGAAGAAAAATATATCCTGAAGTCTAGAATCCTGAGTCAACATTGAACAATTTTATTTATTATGATTAATAACACAAAATATTTTAAAATAAAATCTCATAACAGCTAGAGCTAGAGCATAAAGTTGTGCAACTTGCTAGATTTTTTATTTTTTTTTACAGTATTTGAAATTGGTTGAGTGGTCTAATAATAAAAATTTGTTTAGCTTATGATAGAGTAATTCACATATTTTCTGGACAATTAGAAATCTTTGAAGATTAAGCTTCTTATGAGGAATTATATCTGCATTCTTTCTTTGAAATATTCATATAACTTTTTAATAAAAAATTGTGGGCTACCAAAATTGTGGGCTAGCTGTAAGATTTTAAAGACTGTTTTAAACTTAGAAAGATTCATAAAAAATGTATTTACAAGATAATTATTGAAAATGATCATCAATAAATAGTAAAATCTATTACAGTATTATTATAGAGTATTAACTAATTATTTCTATAATTTTTCATTATACAAAATATATTAAATTATATTCAGTTAATTACTTTTTGCATAGTCAATGCCATGGTGTTTCATAACAGAATTAAGCATTTTAATATTACAAATTTGTTGAAAACAACAGATAATAATAATAATTGAAATTGTAAGCTCTCACTTATCAAATTATTTGCAATATTTTTTGGTTGATTACTATCTCTAAATTGAAAGTGAATAAAACTATACATATATAGTTTCATTTAATTTGAATTAGTTAATGATCTAGATATTTCATTAACTGCTAATGTATGAATATTAGTATAATTCTGAGATCTGTAGATTCATAGTTAATTCCTGTACTAATTTTGCCAAAGATATGTTTATCTTTAATGTCTTAAAATCTTTCATTTCTTATCCAAGTGAATGAGAGTAAACAAATTTTTATCTACATTTAATCTATTTAACTTAGAGAATAATGTAGTTGTTGGTTAGCAACTGGAGTATTTTTCTAAAGTTTAAATATCTTGAGAGAGAATAATCTGTAATTAATAATAATATATTTTATGTAATAACTAACAAAATTATATATAATTTAACTATGGTACTTTGAATATAATAAGTTGATTGTAAGTTAAATACTAAGTGTGTGTAAATTAGACTTCATATTAGTATCTAAACATTGGGTTTTTATGCAATTTTTTAACCCAAAATATATATCCAAAACAAGCAAAAGTATATATATTACCAGGTATGAAAAATAAATTCACAATAAAAACTTTTATTTTTGTAGGTCTTAATTTACATTTTATGGTTTGGTTTAAATCCTAAATGTAGATTAAAGTGTGAATAAAAAATCCAGAAAATGTTAAACTTTCTGTAAGTTTTCAGTTATTAATCTATGCCATTGATTGTCTCTAACATACCCTTTGTTATGCTAAATGAACAAATTCCATGTTGCAAGCTTAAGTAGTGCTAGATTGTATACTCTCTTAACATATAGGAATTGGTTGGAGTTGCTTCACCTGATAAACAGTGACTTACAATATCCATGCTTTGTTATCCTTTGTACCAAACACTAAAACACACTTCTTAATAAAAAATTATTTTTTCCCTAGAGTAGTTAGCTTTTTTCTCAGGGTTTAATTCCATATAAAATATGTCAAAATATATTGAAATATGCCTATTATTCCAAACATGGAAATGCTCTCTTAAGTGTTGAGAAATGACTACCCAGCATTGTGTAATGCACTTTTTTTCCCTCTAACTTCATAGAAGTTTGCAAAAAAGATATGCAGAATCTGATATCTTTTATTTTTAATATTATACATAGCAGAAAAGTTTATATCAGTTTATAAATAAATTTATTAAAATTTTTTTTTAGGGACAAGAGATTATTAATGGCCATCATACAGATATTATTGTAACAGAGTACCTTGATCAGTTATTTATAATTATAACTCAGTATGACAAGATGGGAACTATTGTAAGTATAAATTTCATGTAATGGTTACAATGTTCATTAAATGAAATTATCAAACAGTAAAAATTAAACTTATTTATATAATTTAATTTAATATATAAAGAGTTGTATAATAAAACCTACAAAACATATATTCTGTGACATGGTTATCCTTTCTCCTGTAACCTCTTATTGCAATAGAGCAGGGATGGCAAACCTTTTTGAGCCTGCATGCCATATAGTAAGCATACTTAGCTTTAATTAAAGATGTTTATGCTTGTCAAAGTTTTAGACTTTGAATTATGATATTTAAAGAATTAAACAAATATGCTTTAATTAGAATAATTGTAAAAAAGCTGATTGAAAAAAGGATGATTAGGCGATAAACCAAAAGGTAATTGAAAAAGACAGATGATAAATTGGAATTGTATGATTTGTTACATGCCACATGATTTCTCCTTATGTGCCACAGGTTCACCACTCCTGCAATAGAGTCTGTTTTGACAGTTGTAGTTTTATCAAATGCAACATTTTTTTATGTAACCCTTGGAGTTTTATATTAATATTGATAAGATTAATAGATTATATGTAATTATTCCTATTTGTTAGTATTCACTTAGTAAAAGTAATGTACACTTTACGCCAACATTTAACTGTATAATGTAATTACACTTGCATGTTGTGGCATTACCAATGGTGACTTTTAGAGTATAAATGAGTTCACAAGCACTTTTGATAGCATAAAGCTACCATTGTCAGGTGACTATCGAATACAACTGTTTTCAAATTCTGAGCTTTCGAACAACTTATGAAATTAAACAAAGTGTGTGGATAGAATACCAACATGAATTTGAAATAAAAAAAATTTCTGAATTCTTATTCTAACAGCAATATGAGTGATATAATATCCCCAAATATGCATAGAGAGCAATAATGATGATCTAGAGATGGAGATTAGATTTCTTGAATAATGTTGTCCATATTTGACTTAGTTTGTCCATTCACTTAGTTTGAATGATTTAAAATTTATGGTAAATTTTAATAATCCAAAGCTTAAAATTATAATACTCAAATACATTTTAATATGCTATTGAGTAATGAAAATTATTATTAAGAGAAGGTTATAATCACTCAGTATAACTCAGTATAATCAGCACTTCCTTAAATCCATTATAATGAAATTTGAAATGGTGATTTTAAATTTCATATTGTATAGCATATTTCTCAATGCTAAATTGAAAAAATTTGGCAAAAATTTATTATTATTCATGATCTGAAAATTAAAAAAAAGACCAAAAAACTAAAAAATTTCTTATCCAGATTACTTCAATATTTCATATAAAATTAATACATGTACAGTACCATTATTATTTGTCATAATATATTTTTCTTATATTTGTTTCTAATCATATGTCTCAAACATATATAAAATGTATTGAGTATTTTTGTGATTTATTTTTATTTTTATATTTTTAATAGATACAAGTAAAACAAGATTCATCAGATGAAAGTAAGAACATTATTTATAGTACACAAGTTCTATTTGGTCAAGATGAGGTAGTGTGTATTTTTTATTTCTTTTTTCTACATTGTTATGATGATTAATGGGTATGATGATTTTTTTTCAGCTTGAAATAAATGCTGTAGCTAGAAATTTGATGGAAAAGTTAAATGTATCAAAATCCGTAATTTTCAGTTTAGCATTGAAAGACTGTAGTTCAAGTACCATTCATCAACTTGGAGATATGTTAAATTCAAAGCTAAAACCAATAAATTAATTGAAAATATGAAGTTAATTTGGTTCTTTCTCTGTTTCTGTTGATGAATAAAAATTTATATTTTTATAATAAGTTAATATGTAAATAAAGATGAATTTAATATTAAACAATAACAAGAAAAAGAATTACAGTCCAGTTAAATGTTTTTGGAAAATAAAGGATGATGCTTCAGGAACTGAGATTCAGAATATGCTTAAAACAAAAAATCATAATAAATTTAAATAGGAAATTTTAAAATAAGAGTACATTTATATTCAACAGTTTCCTATAGAAGAAAGTCCATGAAATTTGGCACCATTTTGATGATGATGATAAAAGAAAGCTAAAGATGTGCTAAAGTTCTGGTTATCAGAAATACTTTCACTCTTCACTTGGATGATTCTCAACTGACAGAATAAATGGAATGGAATTATTTCAAATTTCTGTTGTGGATAAATATAAACAGTTTCTTCTACATTAAAATTGTTTATAAATTTATATTTGTATTTTAATAATCATATTACTGATAAACTTAAATATGTTAAAGTAACAGTTGCATGAATTTGAGTATTTTCTATGGGTTACACAACATACTCAATGTTTTATTTTAGAAATTGTAGATTCATATCTTAATTATTTAATTTGAAATTGTCTAAATATAAAACATGTTAATAAAAATGAGAAAAAAGTACTGTTGATTCTTTGCCCTGTGGGTATTAAGAGAGCCTCTTTTTCATGCACATCATAAATAGGAATGGAATTTGTCATACCCAGGGTTGCCCACCCAGATTTATTCTTGCATCCCCAGAACAATAGGTTGATGCCTTAACCACCTTGGCAATCTGGCTGTCTTTGACATAATTAAATAATGTTTAGTAGGAAGAATCAACTATATGGGAATGGTATCTCCTAATACTATAAACATTTCAAGACTTATTTTATTGCAATAAGAAATAATTTCACAATAAATCAGACAAATATTTGTTAATATAGTAAAATCTCAGTAATCCAACATATATGGGACTGAAACACTGTTGGATTAAGGAGATTACTGGATTATTATTTGAAGTAAGATTAATTCAGTAATTTAATCATTAGGAAAGAAAACATTTATTTGAATATTTGTTTATTGTATTGATCAAAACATATATGTTACACATTATATGTTGCCAAGTTGATGGATTTCCACTAAATTTAGTCTTTGCTGGAAATTTTGGGGGACATTTTTTTTTTATCATTTATGCAGTATTTTGCTAAAAGCTACTGTACCTTTTTGATCAGCTTAAGGTGATGAGTTTAACATCATGTCCAGCCTGAGCCTGGACACCACTCTTCATTTAATGCAATGTTTCTCAACCTCTAACAAATCGTCGTCCCCTTCAATAAAACCGTTACCTATTATCATCCCCTTCACTTCAAAATTCCTATGCTGAGGGCCAAGACTAATGCCAAATTTGTACTGCATTGAATAGACTAGTGACTAGTATAATGTTATTTGTTTAATTATTGTACAATATAACAAATAAAATATCTAATTATTCTTAATATAATGTTTTACTATATCGTCCAGAAAATTGTTTTTCATCCCAAAAAATATAAATGGTTACTAATCGCCCCCTCAACATCGAANAATTAATGAGATTCACTATTTTTATGCAAATTTCTGTAAGGTGCCTTGGAATGTATTGGTTGCATACGGTGAACCATACTGTATATACATGTTTATAAAATATATACCTGTATAAGGGAGTAATTCTTCAATTCTTGATACATTTCCACAAATCATTTGAAGATGAAAAATATCCTAAAACAAAATACAGAAAGAAAATATTAATGATAGTTTTTTCAACTAATTTTAATTAATTTTTAATCCTAAACTCATTTTAGGAAATTTATGCATTATTATGAAATTTTTCCTTTAAAAAAAATCTTTATGCTCTTAGTAACTAATGTTTATTAAAGACAATTAAATATTTAATAATTAAATCCTTACAACAGAAAACCTTATAAACTATTTCAATTATAATGAATAAAACAACTTAAAAATGATTTTCTAATCTAATTTTACACTTTGATAAATTTGAAAAAATTAAATTTATTTTAAAACATTAATTAATAATTCTAATAGTTAAAATAGGATTATTAATCTAATCAAAGAGATATCAATGAAATTGTTTTTAAAAGTATATTCATATATACTTTAATTCTAGTTTTACTGAAAATTTCTGCCTCTCCTATAAGAAAATTATTGTATCAATTTTCTTATAATTAGAAGTAATATTTCATTACTTTTCACATTTTATCTGTTTTTGATAACTTTACAACTCTCATAATTTGACTTCATTTATTAAACTATATTAGATTAATCTTTATTTCTAAATCTTATAAATTAATAATTTAAATGTCATTGCTCCCATTTAAGTCATTCTAAACCAAAAAGTGAAAAATTGTTCAGCATCTAATATTTGAAGTAGAGTCAAAAATGAACTGAACTTTTGGAACAGGTTTATTTCTTATGCAACATACAGAAATTCTTACATCACATTACCTTCAAAATACACTCCTTTTGCAGCTGTATATTTCTACCCTTGTTTATATCTGTACCACTTTTTCAAAGCATTCCTGGAAGCCATTTTTTTGTTTGTTTAAGGATTTTCATTAAGATAACTACTTCCAACAATTTAACACCTCGTTGAATAATAACGATCCACGAAAAAACCTTTTTTACGAGGGTTATTTTCACTATTAAGTTCCACAAGTACTTTCGACCTCCACCGAGGTCTGCTTCAGGTGGTGACTGTCGACCCGACCGTCACCACCTTGTGGAACTTAATAGTGAAAATAACCCTCGTAAAAAAGGTTTTTTCATGGATCGTTAGGATTTTCATTATTGTGGCTTTTAGCTATACTGCTGATTAGAACTGCAATTCTTTAAATTCTTTTTCATTTTAGGGAAAAAATAAAAGTCTGTAGGGCAAGATTTGAGAAATGAGGAGGTTGGGAAAGCATTGCTATGACTTTAGTCAGATACATACATATTTAATTATCACAACAATATACCTATATATTAATTGTTCTTAATGAAAAAAGTTATAACAGTGTGCTTTCTCAATCTCTTTACTTCCCTGATCATGCCCCTACAGGTTTCATCTGCTTGCTAAAATGAAAGAGAAGTTAAAGGGGTCACAGATTCTAATCAATAGCATAGGCAGAAGTCACAGTAATGAAAGCCCTTAAAGACAACATAAAAAATGGGACATTGCTTCAGAATTACTTTGACAAAAGTGCTATGAACACTTGAAGTGTGCAATTGCAGGACTTTGAAGATGGTATGATATTGAGTTTGAGTGTTGTGTAATGAAACCTGTGCTAAATCTTCAATTCATTTTTCACTCTGTGTCATACATTTTTTTCAATGTTTTAATATAATTGCTGGTAATTTTATTTATGTAATTTCAAAGGCAATAAATAAGATTACTTACCAATTGGAGTTTTAAGTAATTGCTGTCTATCTTCTTTATATATTTAATAGCTTTTAAAAATATACAAAATTTAAATAAAAATTTAAAACAAATTCATTTAATATTATTTCACAAAGTATTCATTTTTAAAGTATTAAAAATCATATGTTATCAACTTAATTTGGCATTGATTTAATTATACCTTGATCAAAATCAGCTAAGAAATAACCAGGTCTTGTTTTTCTTGTAATAGGCTCTATGAGAACTGTTATATCTGACTAAAGTAGAACATATAATTAGTGCTTACTTTTATAAAAAATAATATGTAAAAATAATTATTTTTCAGATTTTTTTCAATAGAATATTTAATATAAAATATTTAAATTATGAGATCATTAATTCATTATTATAGAGAAGTTTTAAGAAAAAATTTATTGCATTAAATATAAACAAATAATAAAACTATTTTGTTAAAGTTAAATATTTAATAAAAGTAAAGTTCTAAATTTATTGATTATTGATATATTAATAAAAGATTTAACAATTTTTAAATCAGTTCAATTAGTTGAATAACAGTTATTGTTAAATTTATATTTGTTTCTGAAAATGACTTATCAATATGTTAGAATCATCTCCTTCATGTCAGAAATTGAAATTTTAGGTGAAAATTTAAAGGATAATCTATAAGAGTACAAAACTTGCATTGTAAGCAAGATGTAAAGTTCATATAAATAATAACAACTCAAAGCCCGAGAAATATAGAATATATCACCAAACAATCACCTTAATATCGGGCTATAATATGGATAATTAAATGATTAGTATAAAATAATCTGACAATAGAGGTAGATGTTAGGCTCCATCTCTTAAGTAAATTAATAATTATAAATAAATTATTAAATTCCAGAAGGTTCTAAATTTATTTATTTATTTATAATTATTAATTTACTTAAGAGATGGCACCTAACATCTACCTCTATTGTCAAATTACTTTATACTAATCATTTAATTAGCCATATTATAGCCTGATATTAAGGTGATTGTTTGGTGATTTATGTAAAGTTCATTTCATATTGTTTGGCTGTGCAATGTGTAATATTTGGTTAGGGCTCTGGAAGGTTTATAAAGTTCAAGAGCCCTTTTTTGATAATACACAATCACAATGTCAATTTAACAAACTGTTCTCTTTACTATGCAGACTGGTTCCTGATACTGCACATTTTTATATCCTAGTCAAGACTTGTAAAACAAGCCATAATGAAAGTTCAGGTATATGAAAATTTAGCAACACAAATGTGCACCTGCAAATGCAGGACATGGCTCTGAAAATTCGTATTATGGATGGGTTGAAAAAAGCATGCTTGTTCTTCCTCTGCATCATCACCACTTATACCTGGTATAAGTGGTGATGATGCAACCCTTAAGTTCAATTCAATGATATATGAAATCATTCATGTCTCAAAGACTGATTTCATGTATGATTTTATTGTATGGATGATTTTCAACAATGGAAACTGCAGAATGATTGGTAAGACCAGTCTCAGACAGAAATGTCAGAGCCCTAAAAGTTCAACAAAATGTTCTCCCAAAACTCTAGAGACAGTTCCAAGAAATAGAATGTGTGTTTACTGTTTACAATCAGGATAAGTTGTCCTCATGTCTCAACTGCATCATACCACCACTATATATATATATATATATATATATCTTGACTGCAAGAAAACATGGAGATGACAGCAAGGCAAATCATTCAGGAGCTGGCAGCTGCTATAGGGATGAAAATATCTCAACATACTATGTACAGAAGAATTTGTTAGAAGGATCTTTATTCAAAAAGGTCAGAGACCAGTGGGCTCATGTTCTGTTCTCAGATGTGTCTCAGTTTAGTTTAATACCTATTCCCAACATTGTCATCTGGAGAGAAACCGCATTTCCTGTAACATCAGGGTAAGAGACACACAGATCTACACATCTTTCACAGATCTACACATCTTTCAGATTAGCTTGATAACTGCCCTGAGAGAGAGATGACATCCTGGACCATCATGTTGAACTTTTTAAGAAAGTGTTGAATCAGATTTCATTTTTTGGATGACAATTTCCAACCTTCTTGGACACAGCAGATAGATGACTTTCTGGAAAGTCAATCATCTGCTGTGAAAATATTTAGTGAATGGAGTAGCCAAGCATAGCTCTGATTGAAATCTCATCATGTGAAGCATGTGTAGGGAAATATATTGCAGCATCTCACAGAATCTTTCAGGATCTCCAATCATTTGTAGAGAAGTCAGCCTACTTTCATTTGTCAACAAGCTTCAATATTCTCAAAATATCCCTCATATAACTTAGTCAAGCATCTACTCTTTCATTAAATTATATTTTCAATTATAACAATATTTATTTATTTTCTTTTTTGAAATAACTTATTTTCATTTTGGTTCACTAAAATATTCTTCTGTTGTTCTAATTATTTATGTAAGAACTACCAAATATTTTCAATACAAATTTTTTGTATTGTTTTTAATTATTATTATTATTAGATTCTTGATTTACTTTTTTTATGAAGTTTGACTTTCCTGCAGATGGTTGACTTTCCAGAAAGTCATCCATCTGCTGTGTCCAAGAAGGTTGGAATATTGATAATTAATGAGTTATAATTTTTTATTTCTAGTAAAATTATCCTGCAGAATATCATACTTCAACTTTTCTTTTCTAAATTGTTTAGTTTTTTTAACTTCTACATAAAGTAATTTTAATTAAAGTAAGAAATTAAATCAATAGATTTCTTACTTTTTCTTAAGTCTATGGTAATATTGCTTATCTTTAGTAAAATTTACATAATATTAAATCTGTGCTATTCTCTTCATATTATATCTGATATCAGTTTTAAAAGTAAATACCGTATATCTGTGCAGATAAGATGACGAATAAATTTTCATCAAAATTTTATTGTTTTAGCATATATCTGTCCTATAAGACGACCCCCAAACTATCAATGGCCTATGAATTCAGATCAGCAATCATCATCTGGATAATGAAATGATACTGTATAGCGTATACGGAATTATATCCTATTCGTAATTTTTCAAATGAACAAATTTTATTTTCTTTCATCTGACAGCATTGCCTTGCTATTATTGCAAAATTCACACTGATTCAGGTGATGACCTTTTGTGAATAGTCAATGGCATTCGGATAATGACCTTGATTATTAACAAAAACATTGTATGGACTAATGTATTTTGTGAACATACCCTACTCTCTACAAGTAAATAATTATGGTTTCTCTGGTTTTTATAATGATTTTAATTCATATAAATTTCAATCTAATTTTTTTTGTATCTGTCCTATAAGACAACCCTGGATTTTGGAGGTCTTTTTTTATGATTCAACTATCGTCTTATCTGCACAGATATACAGTAAATTATTTTGCAAAAGAAAATAACTAATAAACATTAAATATAATTTGATATATAACAGTATTCAAGAATAATTCTATTAAAATTTATTGTTAAGATTAAAGAAACATTATTTGACAAGAAAGAAATATTCTGAAAAACTAAGTGATCAATGTGTGTTAATCCTATTTATACAGAGTAAAATCTGCTTAATGTAATCATTTTGGGACATCTGTTAATTATATTTCTGTTCAAATTTATTCGTATGATTAATATCTTTTAATAAAAAAGACAAATATGATTTTATGCTTACTTTACTATGTTTTTCTTCAAGTTCTGATGTTCTTTATGTATTTATTTTATTTGTATTATTCAGTTTAATAATCATTTATTTCTCCAAAAGAATGAAATATCTTAATATATAAAAAAAAATACTTACTTTTTTGAAAAGATCAACAGCTTTTTCTATATTTTCAACATAAATAGATTCAGCTTCTTTTTCTTCAGAACTATCAGATAATTCACCAGCTAGTAAATGAACCCTAGTAAATAATTTAAAATTTAAGTTAGAAATTGTCACCAATTATTGTTTATAAGTCAAATGATATTTTGGTACTTGTAGGTTATCCTCCCACAATTGCATTGTGTTGTGCTACTATTGTAAATGAAACAGTGTGCAAATCCAAAAATAAAAATTTAAATTTGTCAATTTCATGAGCTACTTTTTTATATTAATCAAACACTTATCCAAATACATGATTTACTAAAATATTAAATAATGACAAATATTTATATTTATTATTATTGTAACATACATAGATTCCTTTAATTCTTAACAGTTGTATGATAATAAAATATAATAGATTCAACTTACATTACTTCTCGAAGTAATGGTTTAATACACTGGTCACTTATATCCAATATTTTCAGTTGTCCATAAAAATTACTTTCCATCTGAAATGATCTCCATGTGAATTCAACAATATACCAATTTAGATGTCTCCTTGATGTTCTATGTTGAATTTTATGCCTTTTTTTGTAGTTTCATGTCATATTACATATGTGCCTTTTCCCACATCACACCTACATTTTGGATTTTTTCATTCTAAATATAACTTCATTTTAATTAAAGCCTTTTTGTGTAAGCTTTCAGAATGTAATGTACTATATCCTCAGAATAGGAACATCAACTTCAGATGTTACAAATTCCAAATATTGAATGAATAAGCCATTCTATACAAAATGTCCCATCAACACAAATTCTCATATTACCATATAATATTAATATGTTTGATTTACTCACTAAAAAAGTTATTCTCGCTTTATAAACAAAAAAATATTTAATTCCAAATGATTGCCAAATTACATTGGGCTATATTAATGTTACTAATTACTAATTTAGGCCAAATTACTTGGCACTGAGTTAAGGTTAGTTCACACAGAGCAAATAGTGAAAGCAAATGAGAAGAGCAAAAAGCAATTGTGAATTTTAAGCAGCCAATCATTTGCAAGCAAGAGAAAACGTCATCTTGAAAAACAAAATGACTGTTTCCGATATTCTGTTGTTATCCACATTTGCTTATTTTTTAAGAAAAAAAGATCCATCAAAAAGAAAGTGATGGTGAGTGAGAGGAATATTAAAAAACTGTGAATTACAACATCTACTCTATTGCATGAAAAAATTTCTGTAGCTGTCTTGAAAACAACAATAACCACGAGACAACTAGTGAAAATAGGATTGGTAGTGAAATTTTTTTGCTAGCAAAAAATCTTGACAGTTCTGAACTTTGAAGCACTTCACAAAATGGTAAAATTCACTGGAAATGACATCATGTCTGACATGTTATTCACTCGGTTTTTTGCTTTCACCAGTGAACCACACTCAGTGTGAACTAAGCTTTAGGCATTAGGTGCCATATCTTGATATATATCTCAAAAACTGGGTAATTGTAAATATACCACTCACCAAACCATTACCAGTTCATGTCACGAAAAAAACAAAATTCTTACAAACGTTTTCATCTATGTGAAATAGACATCTTCATGTCTCAATGATATCAAACAAACAGCTAGCAAAATAGAACATTTTTTCGAAAGTTCGGATTGATTACATAATTCAAATATGTTGCGTCAAAATTTATATAATGTCCGGGATATAATTTCAAAATATGTAAAATATATAAATGAAATCTGAATAAATAATCAATTAATTTCACATAAATTATTATGATGCAAATATCCTCCGTAATTTAAATTATCCTTAATGCGAGTTTCTGTCGGTGGAATCTAGTTCAAAAGTGGTGCGCCATGCTGTGGATAGCATGTCCATTTCCTTAAAGTTAATAATGACTCCCTGTTTAATTGCCCGCTAGATCTCAAGCAATTTGAGGTATTTCAGTTGTGCCTTATCCAACACTTAGTGTAACAATTTAGTGTTCCTTAGTTCAATGTGTACTTCCTTATTATCCGCATACATCGCTAATGTCATAGTAGTCAGCTTTTTTCTTATGGAATATTCAAGTTCTTTCACCCTCATGGCAAGACCTCTTGCTGTTGCACCAATGTATGTTAACAAGCGGTTAACTCGGCCATCATGGAGAGGTACCACATAAACCCCTAGAGAGTATGAGTCATTTATATGGTTTTTATCATTTCTGATGAGAGAGAAGATTGTTGGAGAGCGTCGATATGTTATGTGCACTTTAGTGGTCCTTGCAATTTCTCTATATATATTAGAAAGTGTTTCATTGTATGTGATAACTTTTGTTTGTCTTGCAGAATAACCCTCTCCCTCTCTTATTTATATGTTGTTTTATGAAATGTTTGACCAAAGAGGACAGGTATCCATGTTGTGTTGCTAGGGCCTTGATCTATGACAATTCGTTTTCCTTTCCACTTTGCTCTGAAAAATGTGTGTGGGTCCCTTTTACCAAAAATCTAAAAGTAGAGACTTTGTAACTATGAGGGTCATGTGAATGGTTAGGTATAAATAGAGGTGTATATGACTCCTTATAGAAAACACATGTGAAAAGATGACTATGCTCCATTGTTATGTTGATATCCAAAAAATGTACCATCATATGACTCTCTTGTTCAACTTTCAACGACAGGCCATAGGGGTTATTGTTAAAATACTTAAGTACCAAGTCAAGGTTAGGTACTTTGTTCCATATTATGAGAATGCCATCAATGTACCTGACATACAATGCTATGTCCTCATGAAATTTAGGTAATATGGCATTCTTGTGTTTTCTGACCATTAATTCACAGAGCATTCCTGATATTGGGCTACCCATAGGTACACCTCTCGTCTGTAGGTAGGTGACCCCTTCATATTCGAAGAAGGACGAGTGTACCATCAAGTGCGTTAGATCTAAAACATCAGGTAGACATTTATAAGCACCCTCCACCTTTGCCAGAAGAAAATTTCTCAGCTCTTACAATTATTAAATATCTTGATATATTTAATAATTGTAATTAAATTATCAGTAAATTAAATGTAATATAAGAATTGGGTTTATGGATGTTTATATTTGAAAAAATATTTTTTAATATTGTCGAAACAAATTAATTTTAATTATATGTTTAATTTGTGTAAAGTTTAATTATTCCATTTAAACTTGTCTACATTGTTTCATAAGCAATGTGACTGAGCACAATGGATACAAGATTGAAATGCAACACATGACATACAGAATAATTCACAAGTACCAATTTTTTTGTTTTATATATATATAACTAGAAAATATATATATACACATATGCATATTTTATGTGTATGTAAATAAAGTAAAAAAAGTATCTTTTTACAATAAACTTACCTTTTGCAATTCAAACTTGTTGCATATTCTAAAGTATAATTAAGACTTTTTTCAAAATCACTTCTAGTATCTGCTTTTATTGCAAAACCAAATTCTCCCTTGGATATATCACCTAGACAAAGCAATTTCAAGATATTAATAATTTAAATAATTTAAAAATAATAAATGTTTCAATTTTTAATTACCAGAATTTCCTTCACACATATATATATATTGGAAAATACATATATTGACAATGCAAAGCATTTCCAATATTTCTTTTTATATTTTATTACATTTTTTTTACACTTATTATTGAACTCATTTTAAATTTGTCCATCATGTCTCATTGTTGAGAAATTCTCAATAATATTAACATACTCCTAATATGCACTTATGTAAATAAGTTTCAAAAGGAATGCTTAGCTTTAACATGTACAAACAGACTTTTATTAGAAATTATTCAATTTCAACATGACATGCCCACCACAACAGGTTTCATTAAACAAGCATTCAATTTTGTTTTAAATCTTTATGTTCTATTTTATGAAGCATTCCATCGGTTTTACCTGAGGAAGAACTATTTTAAAAAGTTTGAAAATGTTTGTGAAGAAAGGTTTGCTCACGATTTATGCCAGTAACAGGTTCTGGATTTAGTGTTGATTTCACCCCTGGTGTTAAAGTGATGTTGAGTTTCTGATTTAATTTCAACATGTTTGAACATTTCTAGACTTGTTAGTAGGGTTTCTCATTTCCCGGTCTTTTGCTTGTCCCGGGATAAAAGTGAACTGTTTCCCGGGA